TGCCAATACATATATTCTGGTAAATTAAACAGCACAAATATAAAGAGACAATTACCCACATTGTAACTTAATTAAAATGGTCCCCCACATGTTTTAAGCTTGCACCAACCAGCTTCATCTCAGGCAGCCCCCAGGCAAGGGATCTTTCCTAAAATGTAGCACTGATGCAACTTCCCTGATATTGTGGAGGCTAAGGTTAATAACATGGCCATGGCCAAGCCTTGGCAGTTCTCCTCAGGGTCAGGGAATGAACCTGAGCTTGCTGGGAAAGAGGTTGCCATACTAGGAGTCCCCTCCCAAAATTCGTTTGCCTCAGACTTTAAGAGTTTCAGAGCTGGAGTCCACCCCTGAAACTCAGGGGAAACAAAAAACCCACCATCTCGAGCCCCTCACATTTTTTATTGAGGAGCACAGAGAATGCAGCACTGCAGACCAAGGGAGAGCACAGGAGATGGGACTGGTTTACTGCCTTTGCCTGAAAACTTCTCCTCGTACGATGTGACTTCACACCACAGTGAGGACACTCTTGTGCTGTCACTCTGGCCTGATGATCAGCAACTGTGGGTTCAGTGCTTAAGATCTGGGCTCAGAGGTTTGTAATCTGGTTTTCACCCTGGTTTTGACAGCACCCTCGCCTTCCTAAGGTAAAGTGGAAAGCACAACTAGCAAGTCAGAGATCTGACAGGCTACATACTCCAGGGCCTGGTAAGGGACAACAGAAAGAATTCTTCAAGAGTGATTTTTAATTCTTTGCTCATCAGAAACTAAAGAAAGCCAAACAACAGTACCTTTAATCTTTTTACTGAGATTAGATGAATCCAAACACTGCACTGTTGGGAATTTTTTCCTGTCGCCCACCTATCTTTATTCTCTCTGCTCAAACTCTGCCAGTTGCTTCCAGTCATATTTTGTTGTATTAATCCTAAACTATTTCCTTTTTATTTCAAATGCTTTTCAAATACATCTGGACAAAATTCACCTTTCTTCCTCTTCCCTCACCCCCTCATCATCTGGTCATGCTGTGGATGTTTTATTAACTTACTTTCATTCTTCCCCTCCTCCAGCTCCTTTCATTCCCCACCCTCTACCTCTACCGGGTCCCTTTTGGAGTTCTGTCCATGTGACCGAAGACTCTGACTCATCTCATTTACTTGGCTGCATGCTGACAGTCTTTCAACTTAACAGGATGGTGATTCGGCTAGTAGGAGCTACTCAGGAGAGAGGATCTGGAAGCAGCACAGAGAGGATGCTCACAGTCTCTCAGGTTACTCTGTTAAGTACATAGTCCTCAAGAGGACAGGCTAACAGCTGGCTTCTGCTACCCAGACTGCCAAGTATCTTTGATGTAAGTTGACTCCCAGCACATGCAAATGAATAATAAAGAAGGGAAAGAAAGGGTACTTGCTTGAAATAAAAGGTTGATTGAGAAGTCATTGATATGACTGATCTAAAATTCTTAAGCCGTTTCCTGAGAAGACAAATTTTAGACCAGGTCTCAAACATTTCCAGAGTTAACAACAATGATGAAGATGAACTGTTTGTACTTGTTCCTTAACCACCTTTTGATGTGAGGAGGCACAAGGTGTATTGAGCACATTAGCTATCATGAATTATTAACATTTACATTGTGGCAGTATCCAAAAGAACTAAAATCAGACCACAGGAAATGTTGTGAGAAGCTCCATCCACCCACACAGTGCTGACCCACAGATGTGGTCCATATAAACAAGGGAAATAGACACTAGGAAGTGAATTGATTTGTCTAGGACATCATAGTCAGCTGGTCCAGAAAGACATCTAGCACAGTTATATATTGTCTTCTATACCTTTTTTGTTAAATCAGAATGATTCCCAGCTCTTAATTTATTGCAGACTTTTGTTTTCATTATGAGAAACAGTAACCACATGCAAAGCCTGCAGGTAGCTGAAAGTCTTGTAGTTTTCCCCTTCAATGGAACATGTGATTATTATTTTTTTTCTTTTTTTTCTTATTTGGGAAGGGTGTGGGTTTTTTTCCTCTTTTTCTAAAACGTAAATTATAAGACAGACATGAATTATTAACAGCCCTCTGACAGGGCACTTCAGGATTTCTGCCAGTGTACTACTAACCTGAAACAGCAAAAATAGATAATAGTTCAAACCTGTACATCAAAAGAAAGTGAAATATTGAGCAGGGCACTGGGAAGGGAAGATGAGCATGGGAAGAAAAGCAGGAGTGGTGATTAGATCACAAAAAGCCTTTTTTGAACCCTTTTCATTTATGCCAGGAATTTTCAGGTGTCCTCCCTGGGTAACAGAAGTGGTGGTAGTACCTGGCCGAAGAGCATTTCTCCCCTGGATCCCTTTAGCTGCCCAAAGACAGGAACAAGTCCAGCTTGGGTAGGCAAGTGTAGCAGCAGAAGTGAGCTGGGACAACACTTGGGAACTCTACAGCCATCAGAGATGATGGGAAAGAGCTGTCTATATACCAGGACTGGGTTATTACAAAGGTGCAATATGAGGCAGTGCCAAGAGGAGGCTGAACTCTTCAAAACTATCTTTTATCCACCTGGAAATGAAAAAAATTGTCAAAAGGGGCATTCTGCTGCAAATTTATAGTAGGTATGATTTGCTGGGAGTGTGAAGAGATACCAAGAAGGACATGTACTCTACGTCATAAGATATGGTTATACCCACACAGACAGGTTGATCTCCAACAAAACTGTGTGTCATCCACTCATAGAGTGTGTAAGCACTCACAGACCTGTGGCTACACCTCCTCTGATAACCCATGCCATGGCCTGGCCTCTGGCCTTGAGGCTGCTAGCATGGCCTGGCCACTTCCACACAATAAAATTCCTTCAGCTTCCGAAACAGCATGGGGCCTCTAAATTGCCCTATTGGAAGTGGTTCCTTGGGTTGTATTGACCTCTGAATTGTACCCCACAAATTCCTTGGGTGTGGGATAGCTGTCCTGGGTCAAAACGATGCCAGGGACCATTATGAGACTTTACAGTGCGAAGAGCTGGAGCTGGAACGGGTTCAAAACAAAGTCAAAAAGAGAGACAGACTGCACTTTATATATATATATATATATATATATATATGTCTGTTTGTATATACATGCACAAACAGTCCTTGTGCTTGCATCAGATGTATTTCCCCAAAAACTTGTGCAGAAGACAGGTAGAGGAAAATCTAGTCATTCAATTTAATACTGGGACACCTAAATGCCAACTGCTGTTTAAATATGCATGAGGTGACTAAGTGCCCTTTACAGTCACTAGAAAAAGCACAGTCCGCAGAAGCCCAAAGGGCAATTCAGCTGACCAATCCCTAAGAGAAAGATCAGAGAAGCAGAAGCATCCAGTCCTGCTAGTCCCAAGCAATCAAAAAGGTTGGTGCGAGATGTCAGATCTGACACAACATCTCCAGGAGATCCTTGCCCTTCTGCCATGGAGTGACAAGCCACGGATATATCATAGGGCATTTAAATGGCACTAAACATCTCTCCATGGGCAATCAAGTCAAGGACCCAGGTTTCCACCAGCAGTAATGGAACACATAGTCAGTATCTATGTGGTGATCACACAGGTTCTTCAAGATAGTATCAAAGTTTATATGTCTTCCACCTAAGTTGAATTCACTAATTTTCAGTTTCTCGCTCACTCACAAAATCTTTCCAGGAATTTTTCATGGCTGAATAAGGTCTGAGAGCTACATCACAGGCTTATCGTAGTCCCTTTCACCCATAGAGTAATCTGTTCATTTATGCATTGAGTTCCTCTATCAAGATTAAAACAAATAAATGGCTTTTCACTGCCATTTATAAACAGAGGTATTATCACAACTGCCCATTGAAATCAAGCAGAAACTGGCATCTTAACTACTTTGGAAAGCAATTACCTATTTGCCAAAAAAACTTTTGTCTCTCAAAATAACAAAACTTAATTCTTTGGTCGTTGTCTGATCCCATCATGTTGATGAGAATCCTTAACTGTATAGACTGAAACAGATTGCTTAGGCTGTGAGTCTGGGTCAGTCTTAATAAGGTTTCATGATCTGAATTGACTAAACTCACCTCAGAGCTAGAAAAGAACAGCAAAATGAAAGACCAGAGAGTCCCGGTGAAGTGGCTAAGAAAGGAAATGCTCCAGCGGAATGGCAGAAATGTATCTACTGAAAAGTTCTCTTTTAATTAAATATATCATGAACTTATTATATCTTCTGTACAATATAGCTGTTCATTGCATGAGACATGGGCCCATGAAGACATAAAATGTTGAATCCTGTTTTAGTAGAAAACATAATACATGAATCTGATAGTTTATGAAACTAACATAGTAATGAAATCAGTTTACAAAGATTTTCTGCTTAAGACATGAAAAGCCACCGCATTCGTAATCACTTATTCTTGGGAAGTATTATTAAATTCAAACTTTTTCTAGTTTTAAACTGCATTTTATTATCAATGGGGTTGTTTCTCTCATGATCTGGAAGTATTTTGTAGATTAGCACTCAGAAAATCTTGGCAAAGTTCATAATTTGCCCACTAAATCTCTGACTGTGTCTGGGACTTGACCACTGATCTCACTTGGAACAGCTGAGTGTCAGTGTCTAACTTGAGCTGGATTCTCATTTCTACAAAGAAATGGTACTTGAAGAGTGACAAAATAGCAGTACACCTCCACCTAAAGGCTCACTTAACACTGTCAGAATCGTCTCAGGACCAGAATCAAGGCAAGAAACCAAGGAAACCAAGATAAGAAAGACAAGCATCTTGCTGAGAACCTCAGATAAAAATGAACTTGGGCAGGCCCAAGTAAATAAAATATAGACCAAAGACTGCCCTGTGTTGTCCATACAGCTAAGTTCTCCTGTCCAAAACCAGGATGACCTAATTTAGAAACCAGCAGAGAGGCAGGAGTCTTGGACCTGTGTTCAGACTCAGCATCTCTCTCAATACACAACACAGTAAGCGACGTCCATTCCGATTTTTTGGAAGTTAAAAGGTTACTTACAAATGAAGAGACATACGGTGGAAAACAAGGTCACTGCCACAAACGCTGCCACCAGAAGCTTGACTGAAGTTGGCGCTGGCTGTACAAGATACCACAAGGATATCTGTGGAAGGAAGGAGACAGCTTCCTTTCTGCCCTGTGATAGAGCCGTCGAGATCCTCAAGGATGGCAGAGTGAGGAAAAGGGAAGGACACTTGGAAAGGTGAGTTGATGAAGGTCAAACGTTCAGCTCTCACTGTGAACCCACCTGGGAGGAACAAGCAGTAGTTCAGAAACAGAGACTGACCAAGTAATAGGCTTAAAGGCATCTCTGGAGAAAAGGAGATTAAGTAACACACCTTTGCTTTCGAAAGATGCCCACTAAGTCAACAAGAGAAGGGCAGTCAGGAAAATAAAGGAAGATGGTTGTAGTAATTGCCATTGATGTGATCTGGCCAGGTCCCATCTGTCCAGAATCCTGTTGTGACAGGACTTGTGGTTACAGACTCCTCTGACCCAGGTGTTGCTCCTGATCAACATCTCCTTAGTGACTCCAAATGCTTATTCACAACTTCTATTGCCAAAAACTTATAGTCTCCAAAACAGTGATTCTTATAGATCCTTTCTGCCTTGTGTATAAGATAAAATTTTTAGTGATAAGGACTGTTTATGTGTGCGTGTAAATCTACTTGTGTGCATATGTACAACACTTGGCACAATAAAACCTTGGCTGAAAAGTGTGGCTGGAGGATCTTTTCATTACTGTAATGCAGATAGCTACAAAAAGGAGGTATAAAAAAAAAAAAAAAAAAAAAAAAAAAAAAGAATACTCATGCTAGCTAAAGCACAGGAAGATTTTTAAACACATTAATATTTCCAGAAGTGTCAGAAAAGGTTCTGCATCTGGGCTGGGCTAACCTCCAGTATAGGCTGGGCAGTGATGGGATTGAGAGAAGCTGGACATGAGCCAGCAACATGCTCTCACAGGCCAGAAAGCCAGCAGTGTCCTGGGCTGCATCGAAAGCAGCAAGGCCAACAGGCCAAGGTAGGTGGTTGTCCCCCTCTACTCTGCTCTGCTGAGACCCCCCCTGCAGTGCTGTGTCCAGCTCTGGAGCCCTCAGCACAGGAAAGCTATGGACCTGTTGGGGCAGGTCCAGCGGAGGGCACAAAAATGATCACGTGGATGAACACTTCTCCTATGAAGACAGGCTAAGAGAGTTGGGGTGGTTCAGCCTGGAGAAGAGAAAGCTCTGGGGACACTACATAGTGGCCTTCCAGTACTTAAAGAAGGCTTATAAGAAAGGGGGGGACAGACTTTTTAGTAGTTTCTGTAGTGACAGGACAAGCGGTAATGGTTTTAAACTAAAAGAGGGTAAACTCAGACTAGATATAAGGAAGAAATTCTTTATGAGGGTGGTGAGACACTGGCACAGGTTGCCCAGAGAGGAGGTGGATGCCCCATCCCTGGAAACATTCAAGGTCAGGTTGAATGGGACTCTGAGCAACCTGATCTAGTTGAAGATGTGTCTGGTCATTGCGAGGGTGTTGGACTAGATGGTCTTTAAAGGTCCCTTCAACCCAAACCATCCTGTGATTCAGTGAAAATCATTGTCCCATGCAGCATAACAAGTCAGCTTTGGCATGAGCATTCATGCACCACATTTGGTTACTATTTGACTATGATATTGTCAGTCGTAGACTCTCTGAGTCAGATTTTACTGTTCCCCTTGTCCTTTGATCTCACCTCCTGAAGTCTTTTTCTCTGTTATGTTATTGTAGGGCAGTATAACTTTATATATAAATATATTTAAGAGATAAATGCAGTTGGGATATTCTTCAAAGAGCCTTTGGGTACCTCTTCAAAGTTCAAAAGGATGCTTAGTTTATATGTTATCTTAGGCAAATTCACCTATGGTTTAGGCTGGCCTGAGGTAGGAAATTCTGCAAGGTTGTGTCATAGCTATTAAAGAAATCATCCCTCTTGAAATTTTACCTCCCAAAATGAAAAAGCAGTAACAAGTCCGCGTATAGAGACCCCTTCCACTGAAAAAATGAAATCAGTGCAAAAAATAAGGCTATCTTTGTCTTAAAAATATGTGTGGTATGTGGCTTCAACTAGGTGATGAAGCTATTTGCAAGGGAGATTGGAGAGAACCTGCAACCTAACCTCAGCCTGTGCAGAGCAGAGCAGCCAAAGGGTCTGGTTCAGCCCTCCAGCAATGTCAGCAAAATGCACACTAAAGAGGTTGAGTATTGCTGAGGACTGATTGTTATGCATATCTCCGCAATCCTAGCTCAGGGATTTTCTCAGCTCATCTGAGCTGCACATCACATAGAGTATTTATCTTGCATCTACATATTGTCGTCTTATGCCCCACCTCCCTGAAAATGGGGAAGAGCTATTATCCTTGTGTCCCAGTTGGGGAAGTGAAGTATTGAGTGACACTTCTTGTGTCTATACCCTATCTAGTGCTATGAAACCTAAGGAAAGCAGGTATGCAAATACCTCCAATCCTAGCTGGTTTCCACCTACAGCAAACATGGTGATAAAATTACAGATGCAAAACTGGGGCCAGTGATCTTCATCAGAATATGGTGCTTTTACAGGATTCAGCTGAAATATCTAGCAATGGTCGTCTGTGGAAACTATGTACTTTTAAACATCTGGATCTGAAATGGGAGGAAGTCAGGCACCGTGGAAACCCTGCGAAATAAATACCCACCTTGCCCTCGGTAACAGCCAGAACAAGCCCTGATCGCTGTGCAAGTGTTCACATCAAAGTTCCTGAAAGCTGTGTTGGAGATGAACAGCTGGTATCTTTGGGGAGACTTCAGTCCTGCTGACATACAGGTCCTATCCTGCAATGAAGAAATGAAGAGCGCTGGGAAACATATCACCATGTGAATTTCTCCAAATGTAATGAGTCCAGGATGCAGCAGCTAGGACACAGGGATGTGATTGCACTCAAGCCCACGGTTGTGGGGCAATGTGTGCTGTTCGAAGGGCAGATCTAAGCTATTGCCTGGCAAATTCTGACAAGTAACATCTGTTTAATTCACCATTTGCAGTATGTACTAGTATGACATTCAGGGTAGTGATTTCCTTGTTTGCTTTGCCCGGGTTGTTGTGTATTAGTTAAAGTTGGACATTGGAAGGGAAAGGAAATTGCACATTCCCTGGGCAGAAAGAATCCACCTGGAAGGCACAATGAGCAGATTTGTTTATGGTGCCTTTTACTTTGCCCTGTCTTGTCCAACAGGCAGGAAATTTCCCTACTCTACAAAGCTGATCAGCCTAATTTACGTTCTAAGAAAAACCTGACTGCTGAGATTCAGGGCTCTTCTGTGCGGATGGGGGGAAGCATTTAAACTAGGGTCTCGTCAAAGCTCTGGTTGACTGCAGGGTCCATCAGAACAACAAGAAGTTAAGTATATCAGTGAGAAACAGGAGAAAACATAGGACATGAAAAGAAAGAGCAAAAACCCACAAGTGATGGAAAACACAATGGAAAAACTCGATTTTGTGGTGATTGTAGGCCATGACACATGGGATGTGTACATCTCTCTGACGTTTTATCTTGGAGACAGGCTGGGAAGAAGGATGTACTCAGAGCTAGTGGGTAGCCTGGAGGGGAAAGGGTTGTCAGAAATTCGTGGTGTTATTTCTGAGGCCAATAAACACTTTTGTAGAACAACTCCCAAAAGCCATAGTAGAGAATCAATTGAGGTATCCACCCTCTGTGAAAATATCCTCTTTAATTGAACACGTAGAATTAAATGGACTTTTCTAAATAGTTTATCACTTCAAAGACATGGTGCTATCTTCAGTCTTAAGAGAAGCTCCATCACCTTTTTTACTCCAAGACCAAAACACCTGCAGTGATGGTCCTGGTTCTTGGGCTGACTCCTTCCAAGTCACTGCTAAACAGAAATCCCTGGCTTCTGGTAATGCATCAGCCAGAAAGACTTTATGTTTTTTTTACTTACACTTGCCTGTTCCTCCATACCACTCCCATTTCTATATTAAAAAAAAAAAAATAAAATATTTGATTTAAATAAATATTAAATAGAAGAAGGGTGTGAGACAATGATTCCTCCCCTGTGTGTGTCATTTCTCTCGGACCTCCTGCTTTTTCAGGAAGAAATTATTTTCCTCAACTGGCTCCACAAAGGCAATGAATTGCTTTATGAAAGTATGGAAGAGGCTTGCTGAACATCTAGGAAACTAGTGAAAGTCTTTTGGCTTTTACAGGCCCTAGATCTAGCCTTGCCACTAATATTTTTAATTGATCAAAGCCCAAATTTTTAAATGCTGATATTTCCAGAAAACAATCTTGTTTTAAAGCACGTCTTTCAAAAACTGGAAAGTCTAGCAGAGAGGAACATCCAAGGTTCCCATTAAATTAATGTCATAAAGTTTTAATTGATATTAAAGAGACATCATTATTAAAGGGAGGATTACATAAATTAAGATGTAAATTATGACAAGGAGGCTCTTATCATGAGATAATCAAAGATAATCACCCCCCTGGGGTACTGCAAGAAACAAGGCACAGCTGAGTGCCTCTAAATCTCTTAACAAGTACAACATCGGAGTCCTTCCATGGATCCTGCAAAGCAAAAACAAAGATATCCACCCTTTGCTGTCCAAGAGAAATTAATTGTGTCATTGGGATGCTGCAAGGTTGGACTGGTGAGGCGAGGATTAAATCTGAGATACATATTTTCAATAGATCTGCTACGGAGGTTTCTTTCCGTGAGCTTCGAAAGAAAACTCATTTAAAACTCTTTTTCTGCCACTCAGAGAGAAAATTAATTTCATAAACAACAGAAAACTGAGCAGGGAAAAAAAAAGCCCTCAAAAGCATGAACAAGTAACTGTGGCCAGTTGTAACTAAAATTCCATTGTTATCCGTGTTATTAATCTGTTAACAACCTGGTAGCACCCAAAGGACTTTGTCCAGCTGCCTAAAGAAGTAATGGAAGATCATCTTTACTGCATAAATGTTATATTTTGAAAACATTTTTTCCTTCTCAAGTAAATAAGCAGCATGCTGGTGTTCCAGGTGGACCAATGATGCTATGAGAGAGCAGAGGAAACCAAAATGTTACCTAGGATAGAAATCAAATCTGTTGTACCCCCTCATTATTCTCAAATCACTAAACTAAACCCAGTTGTGTATGGTTAAATGGTGTCTCTTTATTACAGTAAAAGGTATGTAGGAATTTAGGTTAGAAAAGCTTATTTAAACAACAGTTATGATTACTCTCAAAAAATTCAGGTTCTGTGAATTTCTGAGGCCATGTGATTCTTGGAAAAAAAAAAAAACAAAGATGAGTAGGGAAAAAAATTAACACTTATTGTTCTAAAATCCTTCAGCTCATGAATTGAGCAGAACTGTGATTTTGCTTTTTCCTTTTCAACATTGTTTTATAAAGAATATTCATGAATATGCATTATAATATAAAATATTTTAATAATTCCATATTTAAATAGAAAAATCAGAGTCCTTGTTTCAATTTTCTTTTTAAAAACCCTTCAAAACTTCCATACTGAAATAAAAATATATTTGGAAAAAAATGCTGATTTTTCCTGCGGAATGCAATCTCTGGTTTCTCCTCAGCTGGTGTGAATGGAAGATGTGAAAAATTTTACGTGATGCAGATGATCAAATGTTATTTCTCTTCTGCTGCTGCTGCCAGCAGAAGCATCAAAATCCTTGGTTCCAGCAGGCTGGGAGATCGGTACTGATGCTCCAAGTTTCTCTGCTCTATCATCAAATCAGGGTCCTTTTATCAGGTGCTGCTGCTACAGGCACCATCTTTCCAAGGAGTGGAAGACAGTTAGAGGACTAAGCAAACAGATCAGTGCCCAAACCTCATCCTGAAGCAGCAATTATCTTTACATACAATCTACTTAAAATCCGAGTTTTACCTTGGAGCAGGGGCTGTTCTTCTGGTTGCTTTCCTATTTCTCTAAGTTCCTATCTGAAGGATTGCTGTGTAATTCAAGAGAGGCTGAAATAGTTCCTGCAGTACTTACCTTTTGCCCGATGTGTCCAATTAAAACACTATTAGCTACAGAAGTGTTTCCCAGGCTTTCTACGATGTCGATGCCAAAGTCTTTGCAAGCATAAATCCAGAAATGTTGGAGTTCAAGGTTGCTGCTTTTAAAAATCTATATAAAAGCATAATAAGTTAATAATAATAAATACATAAAAATATTTTGGTTTATAACTGCTTTCCTTGCAATATAATACAATGCAAAAAGTGGAAGTGTATAACCACATAGAAGTGATGAACCTGCATTTAGTAATTGAGCGTCTCCCTCAATGTCTAGTTTCTGCTTTCAATGAGTAATACAAAAATATTTATATTCTATTAACTTATTTTCACGTTAAAAGAAAAAAGAACACTATGAAAGAAAATCAGAATTGAGAGTCAGAAATAGGGTAAAACTCCTCTAAATTTTCTGGGGTTTATTACTGGGGAAAAAAAAAAAAAAAAAAAGGGAAAAAAAAAAAAAAAAAAAAAAAAAAAAGAATAAAGCAGTTAATGTTTGTGGCAGAAAGATGCCTTGAATATAACCAGAGATACTGCTTACAGTCACCTAACAGCAAGAAGACTGTTCCTAGAGACAGCCCATGGAAAGAAGCTCAATATACTTAGTTATTAACGTACATTAAGTCAGTAACATACAAAGAAATTACAAGTGCAGCAGAGAAACCCACAAAAACAAAACTGCGAAACATCCTTCTGTTGTGGGTTTTTTTGTTTTTTTTTTTTTTGTACAGATCCAGAAAGAGAATGCACCGGTCTGAAAAAAACACACTGGAAAATTGGACACCTTCAAAGGAAGAGCCGTAGGATGTGTTAGACCAGAAAACATGCAGAGGGAGACATACAATCTGCTCAGGTCATCACATGGGCGAGATAAGAGGATCACAGCCACTAAGCACCAGTATGGGGAATAAAGTATCAGCTATTAAAGGGTGATGTGGGGTTTTTTTAGTCAGATCAAGTAACAGTGAGCCACCAGAGCTGGAAAGCGAAGCTGGATGAATTGGAAGAAAAAACAGTGCACATTTTTAACAAGGATGAAAAAAATCCCATGGAAATCAGTAACTCTATGAAGGTAACAGATCCTCTACCAAAGCTCAGATCCAACAGGAGGATTTTTTTGGCTGCATGATCTAGTGGAAGGTGTCCATGCGCATGGCAGGGGGGTTGGAACTGGATGGTCTTCAGGGGCCCTTCCAACCCAAACCATTCTATGACTCCGTGGTTATAGTGGCAGACATATGCTAGATGATTACGGAGGACACCGGCTGTTGATGAAAGGAATACTGAATCTGCACTAGAGCAGTAAGAAGAGCTCACACAAATTGTGTTTCTGGCTTCATTACCAAAATAGAAGCCTCCATCTGAGGGACATGGACGTAAAGGTACAAGAGCTCTGACCGTAACTGTGGCCTATTTGAAGTCTTACAAGATGAAGTCAGTGTAGAGGTGATATACTTGTAAAGTTCCTCAGCATCACAGAGGACAATCAGTGCATACCTGTGCTCCGCCTTGGCTGCTCCAAGCTGTGAAGTTGCTGAACTGAACAGGTCTGTTTGGGCTATTGGGCAAATATTCTGGGTACACCAGCAACCCATACCTGTTTAAGAAAGAAAGCAAAGGACACGGTTTCTTTGAAGTGCCTGAATTCATGAGCAGATTTTCACAGAATCACTGAATCATCTAGGTTGGAAAAGACCTTGAAGATCATCCAGTCCAACCATTGACCTCACACTGACAGTTCCCAACTACACCAGATCCCTCAGCACTGTCAACTTTACTCTTAAACCCCTCCAGGGATGGGGACTCCACCACCTCCCTGGGCAGCCCATTCCAACGCCCAACAGCCCCTTCTGCACAGAAATCCTTCCTAACATCCAGTCTAACCCCACCCTGGTGCAGCTTGAGGCCATTCCCTCTTCTCCTATCACTTGTTACTTGGTTAAAGAGACTCATCCCCAGCTCTCTGTAACCTCCTTTCCGGTAGCTGTAGAGGGCCAGGAGGTCTCCCCTCAGCCTCCTCTTCTCCAGACTGAACCCCCCCAGTTCCCCCAGCCGCTCCCCAGCAGACCTGTGCTCCAGACCCTGCCCCAGCTCCGTTGCCCTTCTCTGGCCACGCTCAAGTCATTCAATGGCCTTTTTGGGGTGAGGGGCCCAAAACTGAACACAGGAATCGAGGGGCAGCCTCACAAGTGCCGAGTTCCTATTCATCATTTTGATATCCAACATTTTAAATCTGTAACAGTTCTCTGCATGAGATTTTATCATTTAGTCCAATATCAAAAAGTGGTGGATAGCAATGTTTGTTTTAGGCATCTAATCATGAGGGAGAGCATACTTACAATTTCTTTTCAAGTATTTTCATATTTAGCCATGAGAAGGCTAACAACCAGTGTATGGGACCACTGTCAGGTGCTCTCTGCAAAACCCCCCCACCATGCTCATGAGCTTCCAACCAGTGGTGGCTTCAGCTGAGCCTGACATGAATCTGGACAGATAAGGCTTTGCTAGCTCTTGGACTCAGCTAACTTGTAGTACGCTCCAAGCATAAGTGTTCCTGACTGCAGTCCTTAGTTTGACCTTCTCAAAGATTTTAAATCCAGATTTATACCCAGATTTCCTCAAAATTCAGGTGACACCATCCGCCGACTTTTAGCGCAATGTCATTTTTTACTGTCATTTCTGGTTTAGGGAAGTACAGGGAGGAGCTATGGGAATAACTGTGATATGTAATGTCTGACATTCACACAGCATCTTTTATCCCATTGGACTGCAAAGTGCTTGGTCTTCCATTTCAATCTACTTAATCAAAAGCCATCTCTAAGGGTTAAGTAGTCATGCTGCTATGATATAAAGTATTAGTGGGTAAGAAATGCCACTTCAGGTTGTCTAAGCTTGTCTCTAATGGTGACCTAACCATGATGTCAAAGGAGTGTAAGAAAGAAATCCTATATCTGTTCTCCTGCATGCCACCCTTTTCTGCTCAAAACATCTGGTATAATTAAAAACGAGCTTTCAGTTCAACACATGAGCCCATACTTCAATGCTGTGCTGTTAAATGGTTGATGAGGAAACATGTTAAATGTGGCACCTTAAACTACATCAGGATCATTTAAACAAGGGGCTAAAGTGGAGGAGCTTGTTACCAGCACAGGGAAATGCTGCAAGTTAACAGACTGGGTTTGTGAATGAAGAAGAAAGGACTGTATTGAAACTACTAAGGAAACCATTCACAGCCAGGCCCTGCAAAACAGCCCCAACCACAGTGGTGCCAAACACTGATTCTGCTCCGCTGTGGAGATCTCTGCTTACAGGAAGGACCCTAAAAGGGTGTAAAATGTAAAAACAAAACAAAACAAAACAAAACAAAAACGACAAAAAAAACCCACAAACAAACCCAAAACCAAACAAAAAACAAAAAAAAAAAAAAAAAACCAAACGTGAATGTAGAGGTAAAGCCTTTCTGCTCATCCCTGCAATTACAGTTAGCACTACCATGTATAAAAGGAAAATCTCTTTAACCAAAAGTCCCCGGGTACCTTGTGCAGGAATGAGCTATGTTCTCACTGAAGGACAGGAGAGGCATTTTGGATGGTCCCTCAGGGGAGAGATGAAAGAAATAGCCGTACCCAGCAGCACACACTGTGTTACCCTGCAAAGAAGCATATGTGACCGTGGGGAAAAAAAAAAAAAAAAAAAAAAAAAAAAAGATTACCACAGATTTCTGGAAATTAAAATAAATTTAAGAAAAAACCCAAATTAAACTCCCAGCTGAACTCCATTCAAATTCTGGTGAGTGTGGCTGCCAGAAGCTGATACCTGTTTCTGTGTCCTCAATCTTGTCCTGTTTTTGCTCCATCCTTGGGCCAGTCTTAAAAAAAAAACTTATTCTCAAGCCACACAACAAGGGTTGGCCAAGCAATAAGAAAGAAATGATAGAGAAGTGATATTGCCATAATTCTTAAAATATAGATAAGAAAAATGTGTGTGGAAAACTTCTTACCCCTATAAAACCCTCTCCAAGTAGGAAGACGATGTCATGAAAGAAAGAACTAAAAGAAACAACTAAACTTACTCAGACCTTTAGTAAATGACTTGTTTTGGATTATTTTTCACAGGGCAAGTGAATAACCATGGGAAGATGTGCTGTAAGGTATTGTCATTTAATATCTCTTAATGAAGAAATCACAGAGTTTAATTCTTTGTATTATTGCAAGAGGTGAAAAATGAGTGGTCATAAAGTCTGCCTGGCCTTAAGTTAGGAGTTCGGTACTTAGAGACTCTGTAGCAAGTGGGTTATGTGGGTTATATACAGTGGGTTAGGAGCTTTTCTACTCTGGGAGAAAAACCTGGGTTTACCTTCTTCATTTCAACAGCGGCCAAGCCTAGTGTCGGATGGTGTCCACATAGCAAAGTTTTGATGTGTGCATCTGGGCATGATCCCTCTCACCTACCTTAGATGTGTAAAAATTTGATGCTGAAGTCCAGGCCAGTAAACCTTTCCCTTTCCAGTCTATTCTTAGATAAGTTTAATTGCCCTCTGGAGGTATCTTGTTCTCCAAAGGGAGTCTAAGATGAAATTTCTTGCAGAAAGCAGACCTTGTTCTCTAAGACTGGGTTTCACACCCACCACTACCATTCATAGGTCACTGGACAGTGTTAAAACACTAAAGATTTTTTGGTCCCTGATGGTCCAAACCAAAGCTAAGCCTGGTGGCCTAGAGGTGAAAGCTTCCACATACCAATTACTTTCTTCTGACCCATCCAAGTGTGTTCCCTGTAGTTATGATCTCTGACATCTGTCAAGCAACAAAGAGGTATCAATACCCAAAGCACTGCTTTCTCTATCCCCTGGTAAAACTGCTGCTTTTTCCGAAAGTGCAGCCGCAGACCCTTTTCCTTTAACAAAACACTTCTGCAGTCCAGTCACATTATTTCCAGGATCTTTTACTTGAGACTCCAATCGTGCGTTCTACAGATGATTCATAAGGAAAAAAAACCTGCATATTTATTCAGCCAGCTAGTGGCTGGAGGGCAGGGGTTTTAGGCAAGCAGGGAATTTTGTGTGGAAATCAATTCTTTGTGGAAGTCAGTATATTACGAATGTCCGTGCAACCAAAATTCCAGAGAGAAATTACCTCCCTGAGCACGCCAAATACCTGGAGGTATGCGCTGCAAGTCAGTAAAATAACGTGGCTGACGTTTTAAGTGTCTCTTAACTGTACAACACTGCTAATGTAAATATTTCATGAATTTCTTTTAGATAACCAGGGCTCAAACTGTTGACCATAAAGATGACATTAAAGCTCAGGAGAGAGTGTGCCCAGCACCACTCCCCCAGTTTCAGAACCTGGCAGGGTGGAAGGAGCAGCCCCAAAGGGCTCACTTCACTGTGCCCTCACCTTGTAGAAGGTGAGGATCTTGGTAGGGATGAAATAATGAGAAACAATTGATGTCAAACAGATACAGCCTCACCTCTTTGGTACTGCAGAGAATGCTGCATTGGGTGATACTGAGAAATAAACCCATTTATCAACAGCGTAAACCATCAGTGAATCCTCTGACATGGAAACATGAGCTGATATCCACCCCATCCATTCATTCATTCAAGCTGTTCCCCAGCTCTCAACACCAGGTGAAGAAAGGAAAGGGAGGATCCCTGCTGAATTTCTTAAATCAAATCTGCATGTTGCTATGCATGAGCACTGCGTGTTGGTTCTGGGATTAATGGGCATTGAATGTTTTTGAATAGTAAGTTACTAGAAAAGGCCCAAGACCCACTGGACCCAAGAGAACCAAGAGAAAAAGGTTAATTTTTTTTTTTTTTCCTGTACACAAAAATAAAACCAGGGACATAAGTCATGCACTTCAGCGACAGAAGGGCTGATATCAAATAGATGCATCTTCAGTTCCTCATGCTGATAACATTTAAAAGGCAAGAACCCAGCCTGCTAATGAACATGTCTTACGACACTAAAAAGTCATAACCACTGCTTCCATGCTTTATTTAAAAAAAAAAACAAACAACAAACAAACACAAAAAAACAACAACAACAACAACAAAATAATAATAATTTTTCTGTATAAAACTTTATCTAACACCCTGATTCACAAATGCTCTTAAGAACTTAAATCAAATGGAAACCAGTTCGAACTGAGTCTCTGAATGTCTTTGTAGTCTCAGGTCTGAGGGACTGCTGTGTCTCAACTTCAGCACCATTTAGGACACCACTGATTTTCAAGGAAATTTAAGCTCTTCAGTCACTGATGCTAATTTAGGCTCCCAAGTAAATTGAGCAGTTATGAAAATACTATTGCAGGACTCACTGTGGAAAGCTTAACCCATCATGCACAGTTTAGACTTAGAGCTCTCTGTCTATCTCAGTTGTAATCTTTGCCTTAAAGATTGCAGCCCGTCAGTTTAAAACCAGTAATTGAAAGATGGCAATCTGAAAGCAAAAATCAACCAAACACAAACCCCAACACTGACCTAACAATAAAATCTAGAGGGGGAATTTTCTATTTTATGTCACTGCCTGGAAACCAGGCAGTGGGAAGATGAGTCTTTCCCATTACATTCTTCAAACTTCCCCATTAAATTAAGATTGTAAATACCTAAAAACCAATATCTAGTTCCTGAGCCATTTGATCAGGATATGATCAAATATGCTGAAACTCTGTAACATCATGATGCCCGTGCTGGTCCAACATCCCTTGCATTTAGTGATTATTATTGTACAAAGAAAAAGCCACGACACAGGTGTTTTGCTTGGAAGAAGTGTGTCTTTTTCTCTTAATATCCATGTCCTTTCATGGCTTCTGCTGAACACCGCCTGGTGCTGTAGAACAGTAAGTGCAGCTAATAACAATTTTAAGACAGGCAACTTCGTATTTTCCTTTTTCCTGCTGCAACGCCTCAAATACCCCACTCCGAGAGGCTGCTGACAATGAGGTTTACCAGCAACCCTTCAAGGGCCATCTGCTATTCTGCCTTGAGTAACGCACCTCCGGAGAGCAGACTTAACCCTGGTGTTCGGGTACACAGCCACTGATGGAGTTTTGGGCATATCTCTGAAGACATGTGAACCAAGAGAGCTAAACAAATGTGCTGAAAACCGACCACAGTCAGTTCACATGTTACCCGTAGAGATAATTGCAGCAAACCTTTTCAAAAGCTGAGCCACTGGCGATTGAGTAGACAGCTCCAGGGTAAGTCAGTGCATGATAGTACAAAACTCTGTGTTTAGTGGAGCTGAAATTCATGTGATTCTGCCTAGTTGTTGTATTTTTTAGCCATATTTGATGGTCTTAAAAATGATAAATATGCCCTTGAGGGAACTGCAGAAAAGTCCTCTCCTTCTTCCTAAGTACTATTGTCTTTATACTAACATAGGAAATGTGTTGGTCCTTTTTTCACCTTCAAATTTTTGTGCAATTCTTTCCTCTTGGAACAGAAGCCCGGGAAGCGATTAGGTCTTCACGTACAGTTAATAATTGCTTTGGTTTCTGTGGGTTAGCAATAGAACAGGTTAGGATTTTTTTTTATTTTTTTTTTTTTTTTTTTTTAAAT